ATGAAAATCAGGCAACACAATTTTCGACTACCCAATCTTGTCGCTAGCATTGTCTTATATTCTTGGCAGCCTGATAATGATCTATACCCCCCCACGATTCTCGTGGCGAACATATCCAATTTTTTTCTTCTCCATCTATGGTTGCGCCGCTTTATACTATAGAGAATCAAATGTTGGTTCCTATTCACATTTCACAAGTTATGTGCTTGCAGGTCAAATACTAGGCACCATTAACTATGGATTATTCAGACTAGAGTCGCCGCATTTTTCTGCCGCAACATCTAAGCAGGGGATTAAATGGGCCACAGATGCATATCTCAACCCAAGACAGATCGGAGCGGCTTCCCAGCCGAGAAACCTGCCGCTATTCCCAATAACAAAATTTGCTCACCTGACGGATCCAAATGTATTTGTCATTAGCAGATTACTCATGGCATGGTTTCACTATCTTCTTTGGGGAATAGTCAACGACCTTCAAAGACGCTATCAAGCCCATCTTCAGCTTGGTGATTATGGCCCGGAGAAAGAGCAATTCTTTCGGAGAATATGTCATGTTACCATACGAGAGATAGGTATAAGAATATCATTACCTGTGTTATGGATTCTGCCTGAGATCCTTAGCATTTCTGCGCACCATTATTCTATATCTGCAGTTGCGGTGTTCATTGGTGTTGCCAAAGCTATACCTGGCTGGAACTATCCTGTTTATGGGTTATTGACGGAAGCATATACCATCCGGAGATATTGGGGGTACGTGATATTATCATACGACCATGGAAAATGCAGTCCATGCTAATCTTGTTTTCATTCCCAGTATTTTTTGGCATCAATTCTTGCGTCGAGATCTAATCGCTTGGGCATCATTCATATCCTCAAGAATATTTCGTGTTCCCCAGAATTCTGGGTACAACAAATTCGCCATGCTGTATCTGGTATTCTTCGTCTCTGCATGTATGCATGCCATGATATATATCCCAGCAAAAATGAAGTTTCCGAACTGTGGAGTAAGTCACATATTTCAATGGTATTCCCTATGTCCTTGTGCAATTATTGCTGAAGATCTTGTTCAAAAATGGGGGAAGGAAGTGCTAAGACACTACGGATGGAGAAGAGACTCGAGATGGCATTATTGGGCTGGGTATCTATGGGTTCGGGGTTTCTTTGCTTGGAGTCTACCCAAATTTGTCTTTCCAAAAGACGACTGCGTGCCTTGAAAGGACTATCCCATTTTACTATATAACTTAAAATCTGTTGAGCCAGCGACTTGGTAGCTACTTCTTCAGGATTCGAGAATTATATATGTAGATGTTCAATTATCATAAATATTCAGAAAGCTTCCAAGAATGTGTAATCTCGATCTTATTATCCTCCGTGAAATCTCAAGACCCAAATCTGAGCATGTTGAAGTTCTGTCATGTCACGTCCTTGTTCAGGGTCGCTTCTCGGGGATCGGCAGCAAAATTATTCCGTCGTCTTAGCTTACATATCATTGTGCCGCAAGCTATCCATAATTATTTACATCTAGACAACGTATCTGTTGACTCTTATACCTCAACAAATATTTGAAGAAGCCATACCATCTTCAATATGCCATCCGGAACAGCTCCTCCAGCTGCGGGTGCGCAAGCCCAAGAAGGCGGTATGAGTGTGAGTCCCTCCTAGAGCTGCCCAAGAAAATTTACTGATAATGTCATGAACAGCCTATGATCAAATCCGCCGTGCAAGGCATCGCCATTTTCGTTGGCATGCAATTTTTAATGAAGCAAATAACTGGAAACAAAGGGCCTGCGACTACTATTACAACTGATGCCTCTGGAGTAGTTATGAATGTTCCAGCAAACAATGGTGAAATCCCTCCATATCATGCGCGACCAGACAGATTAGATGAAGGAGCAGTATGGAGTCCCATTCCTCAGAGAATTGCACCGATGTGGCCTACGGATAGTCCTCTCGATATCACCATTGTTGTGTCCCCCACTTTTGTAGCGGAACCCATTGCAAAAGTACCAAAGGATAGAATCGTACTGGATGAGACTGAATTCGCATTTGGAGATTACAACCAACACCGATCGATTGATGCGAGCTTCGATGTTCCATCTGAGGTGCAGAATAATGGTACACTTTGGGGTCACTTTTATATTGGAATTTCTGGAAGCAAATTGGATCCTGCTACCCCCGGCTATGATCCTACAAGGGCGTTTCACTTTGTGCATCCTCTCACTCAATACATTGCACAAAAGAAAATAAGAAAAACCAAAAATCTTTTGGCAGCTGCTGAAGAGACCGACGAGGTGAGTTTATTAAGTACTCAATTTAAAAAGATTATACTAACGATTGATTAGCCTGAGGAGGAAATTCCCACTGGACCTGTAATCAAATCTCACTATCATCCTAACTTTACAATGTCCTTCATTCCGGATTCTGGCGTCATGAATTTTCCATCTTTACATCCTGCTGTTCGTCAATATGTTCATTTGGAGGCAAGTGGAGCTAGAGATGGCACCGGACTTAATGGATGGTACTATCCACTACTCTTCGTCAACACCTTCTGGCAATTGAAGACTCACATGACAGTACTCAATTCAACTGTCACCAGACTTCCAATTCACATTGACCTCCAGAACTTTGCCAATTGGAAGTTTACCTTGATGGCAAGTATGGACGAAGGTGCGAAACAGACCGCCAGAAATGCTGCTCAAGGACAAGCACCACCCGGTGGCGGAGATGGTAGTGAGTTTGAGATGATTAAGGAAGTTTTATTAGATACCAATATCTATCTTTTGGCCACCACGGTCATTGTTAGTATTTTCCACATGATCTTCGAGATGATGGCCTTCAAATCCGATATCAGCCATTACCGAAACAAGAAGAACAATGTTGGAATTTCAGTCCGTTCAATTCTCGGAAATGTCTTCATGCAAGGTGTTATTTTCTTGTACTTGATGGACAACAATGAGAATACTAGTAAGTTCATATTTCAGCCCATGTTCATAGATGTGAGTACTCACAATTATTTAGGTTGGATGATTTTGTTCACTCAGGGAATGGGGATTGTACTCGAGTTCTGGAAGATCACCACGGTGGTCAATGTTCGTATTCGCGATGCACCAAATTCGATCATACCATACCGCATCGCTTTTGAAGATAAACATGTCCTCTCCGAGACGGAAGAAAAGACAAAGGAGTACGATGCAGTCGCTTTCAACTATATGTACATGATTGCTGTTCCACTTCTTATCGCCTATGGAGCATACTCCTTGAAATACGAAAGTCACAAATCTTGGTACTCTTTCGTAATCGCAACTCTTGTCGGATCCGTCTACGCATACGGATTCTTGATGATGGTCCCTTCATTGTACATCAACTACCGACTCAAGAGTGTTGCACATATGCCAGGTAGAGCTATGATGTACAAGTTCTTGAACACATTCATCGACGATCTCTTTGCATTCACTATTAAGATGCCAACACTACATCGTTTGGCAACACTCAGAGATGATGTCATCTTTTTCGTTTACCTTTATCAAAGCTGGAAGTATAAGGTTGACTACACCAGAGTCAATGAATTTGGACAAGGGGGTGACGATGAAGAGGTTGAGGAGAAGATTGCCAATCAACCTTTGAAGAGTATCCCAGGCGCCGATGCGAGCGTCAAGGAAGGGCTTGAAGGTGCCAAGATCGCTGAGAATAAGGCAGATGCAGTTATTGGCAAAGCTACAGGAAGTTCTAAGAAAGGAGGAGCAACGAAAAGAAAGTGATAATGCAGTAAAAAGGGTCGGTTTTTGTGTATAATGAATATATGGGATATATTATTAGTTACTTCAAACATACCAGGTCAGGACATAGGCGGAAAGAACAATTTAAGAGTACCTTTCCCAACTGGGAACTATCAATCTCAGCCTAATGAACATGACTCGCCGTAGAGCCTTTGATATTCTATGAAAAGCTTGAACACCATAGACTTACATTGCGAGCCCTAGTTTTCCCGATACAAAGGATATATGCGGAAATGCCTTGTGAGTAGTTCTCGCCAAGTAAAGCACACGCGGTGTTGTAATGCTTGGAATGTAATGTCTTGCTTCTGGGAAGTCGATTCGGCATCCGCTGGCGATTGTCGCTACTCGAATTCTACGGTCGGTGGCTGATGCGCCGTGCTTCTGGTGTGGTTTGTGATGGATTTCTGTGATGTTCATTGGTACACCATCAGTGGTGTGTCAAATATTGACAGCAAGTGCCTAACATTTCTACGTTATGAATCTCTGCTAGAGTTCGTTGTTTTCGAGATATTTCTTTTCTCGAGAGACGGATATTTGTTCTAGGGGCTCGAAATGCTTCAGTCGAAAATTTGTGATAAATTATGAGCGATTTTATCGGGATTTACTTGAATTGGTATTGGAATTTTGCTATTCTTGGTGAGAGTACGAAGTGACTTAGTCTGTATCTTTCAGGTGGTTTCCGCCTTCTGGGTAGCTGTCTTAGACATCGTTCAAGACCACTAATCGAGTGCGAGTGCTGGTGACTGCTGGGTGGCTTCATTCGAGTAAGGGATGTAGTCGTTGTCTTGTGACATGAGGGAAGTTTCGAGAGGGCGGGAGCGGTAGAATGTTCCCCGTTCGTAATTTCTCTCTTGGTATTATCGGCTCTCAAGTTACGACTCCGATACTTTGCATAGAAAATTCTTGGAAACAGGATGATTTCAACATTATTAAATTGAAATTCATGCTTTCAAGGCAAAAGGTGAGTTAGATAAAAGTACTGAGTTGTGATCAACTCATTAAATGTTGGTTTTTGTACGCCTATTCTCCAGGTGGCTCACAAGCTGCTGCATGAATTGAAACAGTTAGGAGCTGTGAAGTCGTAAAGGTAGTCATGAATAGAAACAGTGTCTATATAAGCCACTGTTGGATATCTAGTAAATATCAATTTTGACATGGTTGTCAATAGGTACTTGTATCATCTCTTTCAAACACCAATTCATTCTGCAAATCACTTGAACAAAAATGCATTTCTACTTCTCGACCGCTGTCCTCGCAGTGCTCCTCCGCATCGCCCTCTGTGATATCGTCTACTACGAGGGTATTAGCAGTGTGGTAACCTCTACTTCCACTCCCATCACTTACTACTCTCCAACAACCTTAATCTCTACTGCCTATCCAACTAGTATCGAGATAACAGCCACCGAATACTCCACAACTCTTACTTATCACTCATATCCCCCTCACCCAACCAGCAAGCCAACTTCCACAGAACAAACAGCTTATATCCTACCCACTAGCGAACCTCCAACTACAACACAACCTACTACTTATACATACCCCACAACTGCCACATCTTCATCACCAAGCACCTGCATATCTCCAACTTTCACCTGGACGGAACCAACTACCGTTCCTACAGATCTACCTAGCTATGGCAGTTACCGCTATCAATGCTTGCCGCTACTATTGAAGTAGTGGATGTAGTTGAGAGAGTAGTAGTAATTGTTCCTATTACTGGATCTGTGGGAGTAGCTGGCGGATCGTTTGATATACTGAAAGACGAGCTCAACCACGAGGAGACAACTGAAAATGGGTTGTGAGCTGATATACTAGTAATGGATGAGATAATAATAGAACTACTCTGAGTTTGGGAAGGAGTAGCCGAATAAATCGGAGTTGTAACTAGAGATGAAGGTCTGGAGGAACCAAGGCAGTGTACGAGTGGGAGGACTCCCACAAGAATGATCTGAAAGCACACTGAATTTTAAATTAGTTTAGAGACTTATGATAGAATTGAAATGAGCTGGGAAGAGAAGTATGAATGCTTGGTTGCGACTATTCAACAAAACTAAATACCTTTTATGTTGTCAGATATCGCGATGGTTTTGGCGCCAAGAATGTAGAGTATATTTTTTTATCAGCCTCCATATTTTAAAAGAATCTTGCTCCAGCCATACGATTGTACCCAAGCCATGTCTTAAGAGACCATCTATTTTCCCAAATCTAGATTTGAGAAAGAGACCGCAAATCATGATCCTTAAAAAGCAACAGGCTATACAAAGTGACAAATATCGTGAATACGACTTGAGTAAAAGAATTTACCAAAGAATCACCAATATTCCAAAACTCCGATGCTGCTTGACTCCAGTGAGAGTTCCGGTAGATCTTCAACTTTCAAGCGCTCATAGTCGCTGCTTTTCAGACAGGTACATGATAGATGTTTCAGTACCCGGGTCTAACCTCGCATTGCGGTCGCCTCCAAAAGAGCATAACTTGAAACATATCAATTATTTCTAAAGAAAATCCGCTGTTATCATCTAACGCTTTGGTTCACTGAGAGAAAGTCAAACTTACTCCCACCACAGGTTAGGAGTATGCATATGTTGAAGCTGCCAGGGGTTTCTGTCCTTGCTACATAACTACACAACGTTGACTATCCTGGAGATGCAAAGCAGTTAGCAAAGAACTCAAATTCATTTCTCGTGGTTGAGCTATGGAATCAGCGCGTCATCTTAAAGATTCTCAATCTTTGAGAGTCCCAGTGTGTTTTGACCAAAGCTAATCGAGAAGAACGCTGCGAGCACGATTCGGAAGTTTGTATCTTTCAGGAATCTAGAATAAAAGCAAGGTGACATGATTCGTGAATGATTGAATGTGGTAACATAGGTAAAGACAGATGAATCTCGAGCAAGCCAAACGAATGTCAAATGTGCAAAGAATGAGCAGACCTCCTCTTCAGACCCCCTCTAACTACATCCAAAATAACCATTCCTTAATTCCTCGTTCAAAGAAATGTAAGTAACTCAATAGATTCAAAAATACAAGAAGAGGAAGCATACAGCGAAGAGGTCAAAGATTCAATTTATCTCTTTGCTATTCACTTGTAGATTCAAACTTTTAGACTTGTGAAGAAGGGAGGCAATAGACTTGTAAAACAGCTATTTAAAGGGGTTATCGAACATGGATTCCCCAACGGCGAGTCATTTCTCAATTTTATTGACATCCAGTAGTGCCACCAAACACTCCCTCAGAGTCACTGCTCCAAAGTCGGAGCTTTATTAGCGAGCAAACGATAGTGTTCTGGTTTTGATGAGCCATATGTAAGACGACCTCTTCCGCTAAGTACATTAACAACTATTTCCCTATGACTTGCATACCAGGAAGGAAAAAAGCACACAGAAAAATCAAGAATCATCATATTCATCACGTGCTGTGGCTTGATGAACAGTGGCTAAGTTGACGTTGTGATAAAACCTCCATCAAAACAAGGCAGGAAGAAACTGACAACGCATCCAGCACCCGTGCATTATTCTCACAAACTTTCCTCGTCCGTAGAAACATCCTCTTCCTCCAAATCGCACTCCTTCATTGGGGTATCCACTTTGAGCACCCCCTCCCCATCCACACTAGTCCCCTGACCCTTCTCCACAATTTCCCCAAACAACCCCGGTTTCGTTTGCAAAACCCCCACCACCCAACACGCCTTACTAAACTCCACTCGATAATCCTTCCACTCCGTCGTTTTCTTCCCCTCATCCCATCCCCTTTCTCCACTGCCTCCATCGGCATACTGTCCAAACGACTCCATAGCACTACCGTCTCATCTTCTATACTCCGCGCATCTAGTACCGCGAATGTATTGCGGCTGAAATGGTACCCATCGGTTTGCGGAGCCGAAGTCACGAATTCTGAGAGCGTGGAGAGAGAGGCGTCCAGGAAACCGGTTTGGAAAGGAGAGATGGTGGTGCGGGTGCGTTTGCCGAGGGGATGGGAAATAGGTGTGCGGACGATAGACCAGATTTTGGAACTTTCTTGTGTGCGTTGGGAGAGTTTGATGAATTGAGAAATGAGCTAGGAAAATGTGAGTAAGTAGGTAGGTAGCGAATACGATGGTTTGAAAGAAGGGACGAAGTCATACTTCGGGTGGGATGTCAGCAGTGCAGAAGGTGAGGATATTTTCAGTCATCTTGATGGAGTTTTGTGAGGATATTCTTCAAATTTGGGTAATCTGTGTTGGACTTTGGTCTGATTTGAACCTGAAAAATTAAGTGCTGAGCTTTGTGTATTTATCGCATTGATAGATTAGGATGGCTGATGCCATGAAGTGTATCGCCTAATTCTGTCACGTCATCTTACATAATCAAGTCGTCGCTGGTAGGGTAAATAGGGAATTGAATTGCATGAAACGAACAAGGTACTTCGGATTTCATAAAACAACAGTACCAATTACATCTTCCACAATAAGGATTGATTGTGTCATCCTCTTTAAGTTTATCAATCTGGTGATCAATAAAGGCACTAGATTTTCGCTTAAATCTAGGAGGATAAGGTCCGATGTGTGATGGTTTAATATCAAGAACCATTAGCATGGACAGTTGCAAAGTTTCAGGTACTTTTGTATTCCCTTCTAAATATCGAGCGAATGGGTGAAGAGACACTGACGGAACAAACACCTGACAAACTAACCAAAAGAAGAAAAAGCCCCCTCCAACACGATTATAGCTTCATGCCATGCACATAGTCTATACGCCTCCCTTTGATTTGCATCACCCATCATATCGTACTTACTCGATTTTTGACTAGAAGAACATGATAAGATATCTTTTTACTTCTCACTATCCAAATCCCGCAATTTGTATCATCCTTAGTGGGAACATAGCAAAAGAATTTAACAGCCAATAAAATCCGTGATAATCATGAATATTCTTTGCATATACTGAAATTGGAAGCGTGATGTTGCATCCACATCTTTATCATGGACCTTGGCCACGAAGTATGCTAATCCGGCCCTCTTCTTTGATAGGAGTCTGGGAAGGTCACACATTCGATATAGCTTGGTGTTTAATTCTTGAGTGCAATACATGCCCAAGGTCGATATTAGCCTCGACCGTTTTCGTAGGCCAGGGTTAGTAAGATGATTTTCTCGAAGTCGATGGTGAATAGATCGCTGCCTTGATTGAAGTATATAGAGAAGCAGAGTCCGTATGTTGCGGGTCTGTAACCTATGTCGATGGTTAGTTCATATATATTTGACAGTTCGGATTTGACGACCTCCGAGACTTCTGAACTGGCGCCTCTGGCTGTATGTAAGTTGAGTGATTGATAATTGAGAAGCGGAGAAAGGCAGTCATGAAATACAAGGGCTCGTGGTTATGGTACCCAAAGTTTCAAGATATCCGAGGTATCATCAACTAATGCTGAGTCTGTGTACATGGCGCATTGCAATTATTCGTCATGGAAAGTCTCAGCCAGTTCGTGCTATCCCCATGATAGAGAAGAAAAACTGGCATTGACATCTTTTCTAGGCAACAAGATACAAAAAATAGAACTGCTCAGTATAGTTATAACGAAGCAGACGTAACTCCCCTCCTCTCGGGATGATCCGAAAGTGATGCAAAAGCGGGGTATAAGCAGCCCTAATCCACTTTAAAATAGCACTAGAGAATCTAAATACGAGCCGGCTGCCGAGTTTAGGCCCTTGGTTCCTGAAATTTAGGCAACTACAAATGTGAAAGGAAAACGTGGTGATTCTGACGCTAATCAAAATTATATAGTATGGGAGACGCGTCGGCGGGGTGCATACGAGTTTTAGCATTGCGAACAAAAAATGGTACAAGCAAGTACTTGCATTCGCCAATTTGCACACGTATAGACGAAGCACTTGGTCCGAACATATGACGCTAATACCTCGAAAATGCCTCACAACATTGGATTTTTGCAGAGTTCCCGAGATGATTTCACTTGCAAAAAGCCGACTGAGAAAGTATTCAATCAATGTTATCTCAGGCATTATGTGTTTGCGAAAGCTCAAGCAGCTACTACTCAGTCACACTCCTCAACTTCTCTACAGCGTATTCCACTAGGCGTCATTATGAGAGTGGATTACTTGAAGATTCCAAGGTCTCAACTTTAGAGACTGATATCGAATAAATTCGACCGAGATTGGGGGGTCAAGGTAGTAGCGGGTGGTGCTTTAATATTCATTCTTCAGATGTGAATGCGAATATACAATCTGATGTTCTGTTTTTGATATTATGTCATGAGAATCGTGTAGAGAATGCCATGGTTAAATTTCTTCGGCCTTGGGGAATATCTTCTGTGCTGACTGCCTTCGCACATCAAACGACTAGGGGGTGATGTGACTATTACTAACGATATCATTCGATGAACTTTCATCAATAATCATAGTAAGATGAATATGAAATTGGCTAAGCCTGTATCTACAGAGTAAAATGGGGGTGTCCGAAAATAAAACAAATGCCGTGTGGCTTGCCACATTGATTCGAGTTATACCATATGCACGGCGCACGCCATATAATCCCATCACTGTAAACCGACGTTCAAAAGTAAGCAGGGAATAACTCTCATTGGCTCTACGCACACGAGGTGTTTTGGCAAGCCCCCATCTCAAATAATCGAACTGCATGGATGAAAATGGCATAATAAATTCGAAGCCTAATTTGCGGCCCACCACTCGCTAGAAAGCTGACGTGCTCTTTTAATAAACATGAGCCACCCCATAGTTCCGTTGGCTCAAGATTTTTTGGCTTGCCGTGCCGCTTCGGCTCTGTTCCAAGTGTTCGGTAGTTGCTAGCGCCATCTCACGCCCCAAATGCCACCACTAGATGGCTTCCTCCTGAAAATAGACAGCATAACCTCTGCCGGTAGGCGTTTTTACAATATAAATAGTATACTGATTACTTTAGTAATAAGCAAGTGTCAAATTCAATGATATCACTGTTGTAACATGTTTCTCATCACACAGCGGCGTGGCCTGAGTGAATTCAATGTAGACTACCCGCGACCCCAATCACTTTTGTAACGATAGACATAATTGAGTGATTAGGGTAGAGCATTATTCTCCCTTTGAGCCTTGAATCTTGAAGTATAATTCTGCATCTATTAAGCGACACTGCGAAGACATTTGGATACGAAACTTGAGGAGCCTTCTGCGTGGTGTCAAACTCCGAGGACTATCCAACCCCCCCCCCTCCACAAGACTTGGTAACTTGTTTCGGGCAAGCTCAAGAATTTATTGTGCCTGCCTGTACCAACGAGTACCATGCAGTTGAAGAAAATGGAGGCATGAGAGCAGGATATACGTACTACGGATACGGTATGACGAAGATGATATTAATCGCTGCGAAGGATTCAGTGGGCTATGTATCTTGATAATAAAGCCTCAGTGAATGTGAATGTTGACATGTTTTCCTTTAATATTTAACGCGTCTTCTGATATATCGTAGTCATTCATGAGGATCGCTTTCTTATTGCATTTCACAAGATAGCGCTGCAGCACAGTCACTCTTCAGAATGGGTATTCTCACCAGCAATACGCAACTCCGGATAACAAATTCGACAGTTCGACTATTAAATCGAGTAACTGGTGGAAGTTACGCTCATTCTGGAAATAGTATCAGCGATATGGGCGACAGCATCGATAGAAGGCGGTGTTGCCTACCTATCTACCATCGATCGGTTAATGGTCTTTCTAATCCAATGAAAGATGCATGGCCCTGGAAACGTAGATTTTGGGTATTGCTTTATCTATCAGCTCTTGGCAGTATCGCCGCGTTGTCAGTACTGTCATGAATCTTGTTTGTGTTTGTAACTACTGTAATTCTTTGAACTAACCAGAACCTTAGGCTATGGCTTATGCTACTTATGACTCTCCCCCGTCGCCACCTGCCTCGTATGCCATCGAGCGGAATAAATTATGTGGTTGAGCAGTGGAAAGATCCCAGCGATTCATCTTTTCTCCTTGCACCTTGGAGGCCAGATTTCACAAAGGATATTGTACCGCTGTCATGCCATTCTCACAATGACTACTGGAGATCCGTTCCTCTTTTCGAAGCTGTCGCTGCAGGTTGTACAGGAGTAGAAGCAGACATATGGCTGAACAACAAAGCTGGTAGCGATGGCTTGTTAGTTGGCCATTCTTTGAAATCGCTCAAAGATGATCGCACACTCCAGAAGTTATACGTCATGCCCCTCCTCAAAATCCTTGAGAATCAAAACAATAATTCCACAGAGTCAGACGGAGGTTCCAGCAATCCTAACGGCATGTTCCAGTCGAGTCCCAATACCACCTTGACTTTAGTCTTAGATTTCAAGTCCAATGGGTCAGAACTATGGTCTTTAGTGAACCAGGAACTTGAAGCTCTTCGTTCCAACGGCTGGCTCACCAATTGGAGTAACTCGACTGACAAAATCAACTGGCGCCCAATAATTGTCGTCGCTACAGGGAATGCCCCGTTTGATCTTTTGATCTCGAACACTACCTATCGCGATATATTCTATGATGCCCCTCTCAAGGATATTGCCAACTCTAAATACAATCAATCGAATTCGTATTATGCAAGCGTTTCCATGAGTACTTTGGGGAAAATCTGGCTTTGGAGATTCAGCTCATCGCAACTGAACCACATCAAGACTCAAGTCGCTTTGGCAAACGCAAATGGTCTCAAAGCTAGGTACTGGGACACGCCAGCTCTGCCAGTAATTTTCAGGGAATACATCTGGGGAATTTTGGTGGAAAATGGAGTTGGAATGCTAAATGTTGATGTGTTTCCATCATCGTTGTTCTATCTCTTAGTCACTAGATTTGATCAAAATAGACTTGCATGGTAGATTTCTTGCAGATTTGAGCAAAAGACCATCTTTCGAATTGCCTTCCTTGGCTGGACTTAGGGTCTTTCAGACAGATACTTTGGGTCGCTGGATATTTCACCCTCGAGATATGCCGATACGAGCGTCGACAAGTATGCTATGAGCAACAAGCATGTTTTTGTGTTGCCTTGAGGAATTTGATCCATTTTTGGAGCCAAATACAAGACATTCTGCAAGATGTCGAGGACGATGACGCATTTCCACAAGGACGGAATGAGGTTAAGCTTAACCCATCAGAGATTCCCAAGAAGCATTGTAACGTCGATCTTGAATTGAACGATGGAAAAGATTTGATTCAATTGATATGATAGATTTTGATAGAAAAACCAAAGAGTACTATAAGGTTTACTTGATCTGCAACTTTTTTTGTTCTGTGGTGTGCGCGTGTGGGAATAGGAATTGAGTTGCACGCGAGAGGATGGTCACGAGTCTAAGCTAAGGTTAAGCGTGTGTGCCTACCCACAATCCCTACTTCTCTATCGTGCTGAGGACCTTTTTCCTCGAGAATAACTTCAACCATAATCTTGAATCGGTCTCTCGGACATCTTATCATAGTCTTAAATGGCCGATTGTTGCACTGCTCTATTTCAAAGAATTTTACACTTTTCTCACATCAACCTGAGGTAGCATCTCAGCGAGTGGCCTTGTCTAATATTCCTGTTGTCATGAATACCTAGTCAATCCAAGCGGCGTTCCAATGATGGAGATGTTCATATTGAGTTTAAGCATCACTTCTCCCTGTGGTCAGCTTATGTCAAAGGTTCACTTGATTCTCATGGTGTCTATGAAGTCATCACCAGTTACAAATGCAAGTGTAGATCATCGCACCCCGACACCCCAACTACCCCGCATTGTTATGAGACCTGCAGTAGTTCTGCCGCTCTTGATATATATATCGGTACATAGCACCCCGAAATCCTATTTAGCAAAAGATATTTTCCGTAAGCTTACATACGATAGATAGTTTCTGATTCGTAACAATTGAAATAACACATAGCTATCTCTGCATCTTGCCATTTTGGTATCCATATAAGAATGGCGATGGGAGACAAGCATAGAGGATTTCAATCCTACTACACAACAAATAGGTATAAGAGAGACCTTAACAGTCTTATCCTGGTCGATCAAAATATTCTTGATTGAACGTTAATTCGTTAATTCGTGATCATGCTGCTTTCTCATTTCCTTCTGCTATTTTCGGCAACAATAATATCATGTTCGCCAGTGGAAATCAATAAATCGCAGTTCAGTGAACGTCAAAGTAGCAATGCCTCATCTCCAATAGTTGACCTCGGATACAATGTATATCAGGGATATTACAATGCCACATCACAACTCAACATCTTCAAAGGGTATTTATCGCATCAATTCGATCGTTCGTAAAGGCAGGAAACTCACAGAACCAGAATTCGATATGCAGCACCTCCAACAGGAGCACTGCGTTGGCAAAAACCACAATCTCCAGCAGTTAACAGAACCTCGACCATAAAGGCAACTGCCTACCCTCCTCACTGTCCCCAAAGTCCCAACGCCCCTATGTAAGTATCAGTCAAGTGTTCCTGATATTTCAAGATACTAACAATCCAAGGGTCGCAAATTACAATTTTACGAAATCAGGTCTTGGAAATGAAGATTGTCTATTCCTAAGCGTGTGGGCCTCACCAAATGCGACAAATCTTCCAGTAATGGTTTGGATTCGTAAGTCTATAGTTCATGCCCATTTCTTTCACTTTCGACGATCCGATTTAACTCTCTTTAGATGGCGGAGGCTACGGCACCGGTTCTGGTAACAATGATTTCTCGGAATTGGCCAACACCAACTCAAACGCCTTTATTCTAGTAGCGATTCAGTACCGCCTTGGAGCCTTTGGATTTCTTTCTTCATCAGAACTTGTCAGCTCAGGCGGTATCCCAAACGCCGCTCTTTATGATATGAATTTCTCACTTCAATGGGTTCAATCTCACATTTCCAAATTCGGAGGAGATCCTTCTCGCGTTACCATTGCTGGTGAATCGGCAGGGGGCGGCGCAGTAATGTTACAAAGTATGGCATTTGGTGGAAGTTTAGCAACGAGTTTGTTCAATAATGGGATTGTGGCAAGTCCGTACTTACCAATGCAGTATGATTATGACGGATTGTTACCAGAAGAGAGTTATAAAAAGTTCGTGGAGGCTGTGGGCTGTGGAACAGGTAATGGGAGTGCTTTTGAATGTCTAGTCGATGCGGATACTATTGCATTGCAGAATGCTAGTGCATATATCTCTGCAAGCGTTAATTACGGACAATGGGCTTTCTTACCAGTAACAGATGGCGAATTCTTAGTCAAGAGGCCATCAGAGCAGTTGTTAGCGGGCGAGGTTAATGGTGTGAGAATGTTATCTGGCGTGGGTACCCATTTTAACCAAATCTCCAAAATAAGACGCGCAGCTGACTTTCTCCAGAACAATGCTAACGAAGGCCCTGTATTCGTTCCGCAACACATCAACACGACCGCCGCTTTCAATACTTATACGCGATCCCTCTTTCCTCTAATATCTAACTCAACTTACGATCGCCTCCTCAAAACCTACTCCATCCCACCAACGATCCCAGGCCCTCTTTTCGCATCAGCAGGTGATCATGGTCCCACGGCTCTCAACCAATCCGTCTACGCCATCGGTCAACAGCAACGAGCCAACAACCTGTATGCTGAAACTACCTTTGTCTGTCCCTCTTACTGGTTAGCCTCCGCATATTCCCAAGCATGGAAATACGAGTTCAGTGTCCCGCCATCGCAGCACGGAGGAGACTTAAATGCATATTATGCCGTAAACCGTGAATACGTTGGCTTTGGGACACTATCTCCTGGTTTCCGTACCGCGGTAGAGAAAATTTGGGGGAGATTTATCATTTATAACGATCCAACACTACCTAGCGATGTCGTTACATCTATCACCACTCTTGGGAATGGAACTCAGACGGGAGATAATATTTCTGCATCAGGAGCTGGTGTATGGCCGCTATGGAAAACTGATGGGTATGGCGCATATCAGATGTTAAAACTGAATATGACTGGAGGGCAACCAAAAGAGGTTGCATGGACAACGGCAGATGGACTGAGTTTGAATGTAACAGAAAATACGGGGTCGGGATTGGAAGCTGATTTAGCAATCGTGGATGCTTACGATTGGGAAGGGGGGAGGGGAGCAAGATGTGATTTTTGGGCGGATATCGGAAGTGAGGTGCCAGAATAGAGCAGAGACGATGAAAATAAGGATGTTATTATGGGAAAGGATGCGGCAATGTCCGAGACAAACACTCGACTCTGACCATGCGCATGAATGGAAATGTGTTTCTTCTGGTATCATCTTGATGCACGTATTTAAAAGCTGATGCTATGTATATGCGTATTTTTGAAGACTAAAATTAAAAGAAATGTTCACAATATCTAGAGACGAAGCTCTTCATATACTTTATGAACGAACGATCCAAACTTTTAGTTCTCACTATGAGAGCACAAGCACAATTGAAGTTAGATTATTATTTTACCACAAAGAAAGTTTGAGACTAATCGAGAATGGTCAAAGCAATAACAAAGCCCAAGTCAACCCTCATCCTCAAACGAATACGAAAATATGAAGCTATTCCAGAATCTGCTTATCTAATCACGATGATATAATCCCTGTCATTGCGAATTATAGATAAGATAGCGTCATCGATTCCTAACCACCAAAAGATATATGTCGGACATCACCCCACTGTCCCATCAACTCATTAAAACAATTACAAATAAATTCATATATAAACTCTACTATTGTACTTTTTCTTCTTTGTTTTCTGACAGTCTTCTGACAATCTCTTTCTCTCTTCTCTCATAATCTCGATCGCTGAAATCGAATTCCGCCTGAAAAGAAAAAGCAAGACAGAAACGAAGCAAGCAAAGATGGTTAATTCGGTAGATGATCAAACGGCAGCCCCGTCAATTGAAGTCAAGAACCTGACATATAAATTCCCGGATTCGACTTTGGGTCTTACGGATATTACGCTGAGTTTGCCGCCTAGTTCGAGGACTTTGTATGTTGTTTTCTTGATCTGTTCTGCTATGCTCTGTCTTTTGGCAGATGGATGATCCTTCACTCAATCTCTCCGCACAATTCTTACAATTTATCCTCCATCTGTGTGAATTATAGCTAATCTTCTTCTCCCAGACTCATCGGCGCAAACGGTGCCGGCAAAACCACACTCCTCCGTCTCCTCTCCGGCAAACGACTCGCACCCACCTCCACAATTTCCATCTCTGGTCTCGATCCCTTCAAAGATTCTCTCGTCGGCGTAACCTATCTCGGTCTCGAATGGGTACTCAACCCCATCGTACGAACCGACATTGGCGTTCGAGAACTCCTCACTTCGGTAGGCGGAAACTATTATCCCGAGCGCAGAGACGAGCTTGTGCAGGTTCTAGATATTGATTTGGAATGGCGCATGCATCAAGTATCCGATGGAGAAAGAAGAAGAGTACAACTTGCCATGGGACTTATTAGACCGTGGAGGATTTTGCTATTGGATGAGATTACGGTGGATTTGGATCTCTTGAGTCGGAAGAGATTTTTGGATTTCCTGAGAGAGGAGACGGAGAAGAGAAAATGTACGATTGTGTATGCGACGCACATTTTGGATAATTTGGCGGGATGGCCGACAGATTTGGTACACATGAGTCTCGGACGAGTGAAGGAGTGGGGTAACATAGAGAAGTTTGAGAAGGAGATGAGTGGAGATAGTAGTGGAAATTCAAGATTGGGAGAATTGGTTCTTAAGTGGTTGGGTGAGGATTTGAAGGAGAGAGGACCCAGGAAGAATGCCGGTAGTTCGGGTACTAGTTATTTGGAGGCCGGTGTCGGTGGATATGGAAGTGAGAAGAAGGTTTAGCTGGGCAGATTGATGGAGAGAAGGATGGTAATGAGAAGGTCATATGGTTTTCACGGAGAATGATGTGCTGGAGCGCTTTAACGCGTAGATACACATGGGACAACACGGCGCAGCACTCAACTTCAACTAGAGAGCAGGTCCAAGGGATGTTTCATATTTCATACTTTTATTTTCCATTTTGTCTATTTCATTCAGAGTGCCTTAACGCCTTTAACTTTGTATGTATCTCTGTATGGGCAGATAGGTTTGGCGTTCAACAAAAGCATTACAGGAGGCGTACTTTAACATACGATACCCCTTAGAATTATTCAACATAGAGAATAAATCCTCAAAGAACTATCTTCACTTGCAATTGCAAGTTCCATGCCTGTAGTGTTCTCTGATGTTTCTTTTGAAGAAGGTTTCCATGCCAGTTGGGTGATGGCTTTGGAGGGGTAGTAGTTATTGCTTTGATGTCGAGTTAGTATATTTAAATAAGAGGAAAGATGCAGTAACGTAAAAATTGAGGGAAGATGAAGATGATGAAGAAGCTGAATAGGGAAGAAAAATAACACATACCTAATCTCCAACGGCAACTCAGCAACAGTAATCTCATCTCCAATTTCCACCCGATAAATCTTGAATCTTCCAACTTCAGTCCCAACAGCTAAATACACTGTACTTTCCCCAACCACCTCATCGTAGAAATCAATCGCAGTAACAGGCGCTTCCGATGCGATGGTCGCTTTACATACAAATCCGCCTTCTGCGTCGCGTCCCCAGATCTTAACGCTTTTGTCGCGTCCTGCGGTTGCGAAGACGGGGGGTGCGGTACTAGAAGGGGAAGGCGCCCACGCCGCATCAAGAATCATCCTCGTGTGTCCTTTCGGGTTACTCTCCGCCAACGCATAGGTATTTCGATCCGAATCATCGCGTTTAAAAATCGCCCATTGACGATCGCGTCCGACGGAGAGGAGATACTTGTCATCGCTTGAGAAGCGCAGACGGGCGACGGTGAGAGAGTGCGCGGTTAGAGAAGGTTTGAGTTCATGCCATTCTTTGGTTTCGAAGAGTCGGATGACGGCGTGGTCGATAGAGCTGGCTTTGCAAGCGGTCGCGATGATAGAACCATCGTGGGAGGTGGCCAGCGCGGAAATTTCGTAGCCGTGGCCGTAGAGTTTTTCGGTTTCGGGCCAGAGTGTGTGTCGGGAGAGATGGTCTTCGAGGGGTGGGGAGGAGAGGTCGAGGGTTGATTTGTGCACGATGGATGCAGGGTCTATGGCGTCGCGGTCGCGATCGTCGGGGCGCGAGATAGTTTGATCATCGTCAGGGGTGGCTTCGATGGCTTTGTTGGAGAGGCCGAGGACGGGCATGTTGGCTGCGTCGGGCATGTTAGTTGGGTTTTCGTTGCCGATGCCGCAGAGTTTGTGGAGGAGGGTGGCGACGGCTCTGGGTTCGTTGAAGACACGGAGGAGTTTCTCGTCGGCGCCGGAGACGAATTGGGAGGCACCGAGAGAATCGATACAATTCAAATCATAGCCATGAATTTGCGGTCTTGCCATCTCATGCCAACTGCTCACTGCGTCTCTCTTCCACTGGGCGTGTAATCGAGTAGTTTGATCCGTGCTGGTCGAGAGCAAATAACTTCCATCTTTCGACCATGCGATTCCCATGACGGGTTTCACATGACCTGTGATGGCAGTATTTTGGGCCCAGCGATCAGAAGATGTATCGTGGTTCCATAGACGCCAACTTCCCGTTCTGCCAAGCGAAACGACAGTGCTGCCGGTGGGAGACCAGAGACCGGTCCAGAAACCGCCGGTGCTACCAGTGGCGGTAGTAGAACCCTTTTCCGCACTGATCTCGCCGAGTCGTGCGATGGTTACCCAGACGCCGGTGTGAGTGTCGGGTTCCCAGATGGCGAGAGAATTATCTGCTGATGCGGAGAGGAGTTGAGGTTTTTGGTTGGAGGTCAATGATGGGGAAAGCCAACGTGTACTGTAAATCCAATCTTCGTGTCCGAGCAGTAAAGCTTCGAATGTAGCTGAGAAATCTAATTCTTGGGCTTGGAAACGATGAGCCTTGTTAGATAGAGATTTTCCGGGCATGAAAGCACCAAATGTGGGATCGGCTGCTGTGGCTGCGGCCGGCAATTCTTTGCCTTGATGGATTCTCCAGAGTCGGATGTATTTATCCTGACTAGCTGATGAGAGGAGCAAATCACTTGTTGGACTGTCGCTCTCTTTGGTGAATTCTAACGATCTGATCCATCCTTCATGTCCGGATAATGTAGCTTTGTACTTAAATTCCGATCCTGCTTGCGCATCAAGCACATGAAGCTGAATGATATCCTTAGTACCCGCGACTGCAAGAACCAAAGAGTCTGAAGCTCCAGTCAAAGGACTCAAAGCCAAAGCCAAAGGGAACAATCGGGGAGTAATCGTGATAGACTGCTGCAAACTTGCAACATTGCTGTCATCCAGTTTCCACACATTGACAATCGCATCTGCTGATCCGGTAGCAAAGATTTTGGATCCTTCCGTCACAGCTATACAATTGATTGTGCTCTGATGATCGGTAATAGTTTGAATGCAAGTATACGTCTTTGATACTTCATCCCGTTTCCAAATCCGGACCGCCTTATCTACAGATCCACTGAGTATGAGACCATGTGATTTCGGGATGAATTTCACCACATTGACAGTATCCGTATGACCACTCAGAAGTTCGAAAACGCCTCTGGAAGTTTCATTCTAGACATCATCAGTATTTTCTCTTGATAGGCATTATAGGACCAGTCATATATCTCCATGATCCGGATTATCATCAAAGACATGTCAAAACTTACTCCGGGATACCATAATGCGATGTTTCTATCCGTTCCATAGGCCAAAAGTCCAGACTCGTCCCAATCGGCAGCAGAAGGATGTCTATTGGCACCTGCCGCAAGATATTCTGGAGTTATTTTATCCATCATATTTATATTGTTTCATCAAAGCATTCACGAAAGGAAATAAGATTTATCGTAAAATCGTTTGGATCATATCCAGGTTCAACGCCAATATCATACAAAGTCGTGAATTTGTGGTGGGCTCAATATTGCTGTTCTGGAGGTATTTTGTTGATGCCGTGAAAATTGTTTTCACTCATTTTTACAAGAACTTTTGGTTGGAGTCACATCACCACAATGCATTTTGAAAATTGGTTAAAAATTCGATTCTCATTGAAACTCTTTGATCTTGATATGAGAAGAAGTGTGGGATTTCAGGTTAATTTTACACATCTTGTATAATTGACAATTCGATTCTCCTGTAATTATTTTCATCATAAACTCGATTTTCCACAAACA